TCCAATAGAAGAATACTTATATGTAGAGAAAAATAGCATTAGTTGTCCGTCCCATTTCTCAAGGGACATTTGTACTTTTTTATTTGCATGACTGCCCCCCGATGGGTATAAACACTTAAAAAGCCTATTTAAATTATTTGAATAGTAAGAATTGTATTGGAATAAACTTTTCTCTTAAATTATTTGTCGCTATATACGTAATAGAGTTGTGGAAGAGCATCCTTAGCTTATACTCCTCTGGTCCTTAATATAAAACCCATTTAACTAATTTAATTAGATTAAGGAAGTTAGGTAAATTAGTTAATTATAAGAAATATGACACGTTTTTTCTAAAATACCATAATCATATTTATTAATACCTCATCTTTCTCTTCTACTTGATTATGGTTGAAAGGGTATCTATAAGGGTATTTAGAGATAATTGATCAATATGAGAAATGGGTCTTATATTAGGACTAAAACCAACTCACCAATTGGGTCTTATATTAAGGACCGGAGGAGTATATCCTTATAATTTTGCACGTGAAACAAACCTTGATTATGACTTGAATTAATATAAATATACAGTTGATATATGGATTAATAATATAATGAAGAGTTCGCAAGACGATACAAAATAAAATATATAAAACTGGGAGAACAATTTTGTTAAAAAATATATTTGTCACTATATAATATACATTAATACATAGGTGGCGCCCGGCATCCTTATCTAGCGTGGTGGGAGAAAATATAATCCCACCACCTCTAACATGAGGGTTAGGGTTTATGCAGTATGTGTGACATTTCTCACAAATTCGCCGTCTGTGCCGAACAGTGGCTCGCCTCTTTCCACGGTGGCGGCGGCGGTAAAGGCAACGAGAAGGGAAAAAGAAGAATGCAAATAGTGGAGTAGGCTTCATTGTTTGTTTGGTGTGTGGTGATGTAATGCGAAGATATTTAGGTTTGGTTCTGTGGTCTGGGTAAATGAGGAAGAGGAAGCTAAAGGTTATAGATAGGCAGCCATAGCAATTAAACCTCAAAAATGGTGGGAAAATCAAATATTTTCTTTAGGGTTTTAGCCATGAGTAAAACATGAGAAGGATAATTAAGGATGCCACCTCCATCAGGCGACAAATATACAAGGTTAAAGTATTTCACCGTTTATCACAGTAATGAGTATTTTGTGATTATTGTTGTTATGAAATCTATATCTTTTACAATCTAATTTGCATTGTTGATGTTTAAAATTTTTAATCTATAATTTTTTAAATAATAATTTATTTTTAAAAAAATATAAGTCATTGGTACGATTCCTCTTTATGAAAAAGGGGGCATTGGCGTAATTAAACGAAACGTCTCTGCTTTGCTTGTTTTTTTTTGGGGGGGGGGGTTGGTAGGGGCGACGGCGAAATTGTCACATGGCCGGGGGCCCGCTTTGAAGTATTACACGGCATATAAATTAAATGTTCTGCACGTTTTGTTTCGTCTTCCGCGTCAATGTGGTAGGACTCTTGGATAGAAATCAAGATCATAACTTTTAATTTTACAATATACAAAATAAATATATAAAAAAATTTATCTTGATTTATTAAAAAAATATTTTTTAAAAGTATTTTTAAATTTTACCAAACACCTCCAAAACTCGCAAGCTGCTTGTATGCCTAATATACCCATTAGATAATCAATTTGAAATTATTAAAAAAATTTAATTTAATTAATTATTTATGATAAATGGATGTTATCTTTTTTTAAAATATTTTCATTAATTATGTGCATTAAAACTACCTCTTCATAAAAATTTATTAACATGTGTAATCACTATAAGAATTACTTAAAAGCAAAATAAATAAATATGAAAGACAACAAAGATTGTGGTCTTATATTTAGAATCAAATTAAATTTTTAACTAATTTTTATATTAAAGATCAAAATAATATATCAGTTATCCTCAAAATGAATGGATTTGCCTTAGCAACAAAAAATCTATTTTAAATCAAATTATAAATTCTATTCTGAATTGTAAACATTAAGATTTTAATTATGATTTATTTTAATAATTTGTTGTTTTAAATATGAATCTTTATATCTTGGGCCAGAGAAATGAATTTTTATAATTTTATTATTTTCACAGAATTAGGAGTGGAATTTGACCCGATCCAACTAGCTAAACTGGGCAGGTCAGACCGGATTCATTGGGCCTACTGGGACAAACTTACAAACACAAAGCTCTTGGATTAAAGGTAGATAGATAACTAATGGGAGTTGGGTCTAGCAGAAGAGATTAGTCTTTCATAACATGATAACGAATTCCCATTGAGAGAGATGCCTATATTTAGTGCCTGACAGTACCTTGAATAGGATACTTATGCTTTGGGAAAAAAAAGGATAAATATTTGAGAAGTTTTGTTTTGATTTATATAAAATGTGTTTATAATTATGATTCCAAACAAGATCTAATCTAATACATATTGTTTTGTTCCTTTCTGAGGTGTGGAGGGGGAAAAAGTATTAATTAATTATTAGGGAAAAAAAGTATCTCCCAATAAAATAGAAAAAAGGTTAAAAAAATCGTGACACATTAATTGAATATTATGTTAAAAAAGAAAAAATTGAAAAAAAATACTTGTGACTTCTTTTTTTTGGTTAAAATTATTGATCATGATCGAATGCACAGGGTGCTTTCTTTTTTTCTTTTTTTTTTTTTATAACAATATTTTGTGGACCGATTAATATGCACGCAGACTCGTCCGTTTCCGCTTTTTCTATCCGCATCCTGAAACACGTGATCATCTCGATTATTGAATGGGAAAGCTGACATTTAAAATAGAAAATATTACTTTAATAATATTCAAAAATAAAAAACACCCACAATTAAGTTATAAATGTTTATTTAAAAAATTGTCACTAAGAAAGTTTTAGTCAAAACTAAAGGATTTACTCGTGTCCAATATCTTAAAATCAGTTATTTTTTTTAAGAGTCTAATATAATGTGTGATATAGGAATGTCTGGGGAGTTACTGATGCATCTCATAGTGTTTTTTGGTTGAAATGAATAGGGCTATTTGCATTTTCCATAATTTAGTGTAAGTGTTATGGAAAATAAAACTTAAAATTGTACGAATGAAGCAGATAGATTTTTCGCTGGCATTTTAATGGGTGGATGTTCATAAATTATTGGAAGGATTATTAAACACTTGAAGAAGGAGAAAACATTTTTTTTAGTTTAGAGCTCTACGTGTGTGGCTGAATTGGGTGTTAATATTGAGAGAAAAAAAGCAGCACATAGATAATTAGTTTTTGTTTACGTTTGTAAGTTTAGATCATTTATATTACAATATACATATGAATTTTAAACTTAAGAGATCCTTTTCTTAAAAAAAAAATGAATGTTAATAGTTTTAATGTTCTTCCTAGTCCCACTAAAACATGTGGAGCGATATATCTCTACATATGTTGTCATCCATCCCATTAAATTTCCAAGTTCACATAATTGTTGGTCTTGTCTCGGTTTTATCGGGACGGGTCAAACTCCACGAGACAAGACATATGGATTATCATTAAAATTTCCGTCAATTCGGCTCAAGATCGAGTATACTTGAACATATAGATATTGATCTGAGAGAAGTGTCCCATCTGCCACGAGATAATTGATTCAGTAAAAAGACGTTTAAGGGCTTAGCAATCTAGCTAAGCTTCTTTCTCAGGCTTCTAGTCTCTAGACATAAGTCTTTGCAAAAATGACATTAAAAAAATTATAAATTACAATATTCTAATTCAGATATTTAAGAGGTCAAAATTTCAGAAATAGAAGTAGTATCTGATATGATATTTTATAAATATAGTCAAATAACTAAAATATCTTTATACCAGATTTTTTAAACAAAAAAAAAAGCTATCAAACTTGTTATTAGTATATTTTTTAATCATTGATTGTTTAACACTTGCACAACTTATTAATAAATAACTTGTCATTATCATTATATTTCTTGTCATTTGTTGTTTAATAGTTATCATTGTCAGTTCATAACTTGTTAATAAACTTTTTGATACAATAACATTTTTGTCATTTAACTACATTTTCAAAATACCAAATCACTCATCACTTCCTTCCCTAGATTTTGACCTCTTAAATGCTTGAATTAGAATATAGCAATTTCGAACTTCTTTTTACGTCATTTTTCCTAGGTCTTTTATATGACTCTGCTTCAATATATTTGCCATTTTGTCTTTAAAAAGAACAAATAAACAGTATTACCAACTAGGAATTGTATTTAGTTAAAAGGGCTACCCTCTACGAATTAATATTTGAATTCATGTTAAAAGAGATGTTCAACATTTAGTGCTTGAAAATATTCTAAATGAGATCGCCTCTAATAGAAAGACACCTTTTAGTTTGTGAAAAAATAGCATTAGGTGTCCCTCCGATTTCTCAAGGGACACTTGGCACTTTTTATTTGCATGACAGCCCCGCCCAGGTCTAAACAAACTTAAGGAGCCTTTTTTTTTTTAAGTAAAAACATGTAATAATTAAGCCATTTAATTAATTAGCTTTAAAATTGAAGTCTATAATGTTAGTAGTATATAGTAAGAATTGTATTGGAAAACCTTTTCTCTTAAATTATTTGTCGCTATATAGAGTTGTGGAAGAGCAGCCTTATATATCCGTATAATTTTGCACGGGAAGCAAACCTTGATTATGACTTGAATTGATATAAATATATAGTTGATATATGGATTAATAATATAATGAAGAGTTCCCAAGATGATACAAAATAAAATATATATAATATTGGGAGAACGATTTTTTTAAAAAATATATATTTGTCACTATATAATATACATACGTGGCGGCCGGCATCCTTATCTAGTTTTGTACTTTTTTTCCCATCCCATTTTTCACGTGGCTCAAACCCCAAATAAATAAATAATTTTAAACTTCTTTAAGCGGTCACTTCTTCACGGCCAACTCTATAAATTGATGCTCCTACTTCACATGAACTCATCACACCCACCAAATAAAAAACTACCAAGTCTTCCATAGCCATATACACGCACATCACGAAAACAATGAAGACCACTTCAGCGTTGCCTGCAACATTCCTCTTCTTCCTCCTCTTTGCCTTCACCACCACCGCCGCCGCCTTCGCCGGCAACGGCCTAGTGCTAGACTCAGACGGCGATCCATTGAGAAACGGCGGCAAATACTTCATCTCACCTGTAAATGGAGGTGGGATTTTCGCCGGCGCAGTGAGGCACGGATCAGATACTAATTGCTCACTCGCCGTGATCCGATCCAGTAACAGATGGTCAACAACCATATCTTCTCCGTTCAAAATACTTTACATCTCAGAGAAGCTTCCTCTGAACATATCATTCGCTCAGTTCGCACCCAACGTTTGTACCAAATCTAAAAACTGGCTCGTCACGAGGTCGTATCCTATTAGGGAGCCCGTGATGGTTGGAAGTGCTCAAGAGTTCGATGGTTCTGTGATGGATGGTTATTTCTCCGTTTGGTCTGTTGATGAAACCAAAGGACACTATAAGCTTGTCTTCTGTCACACTGGAGGAGAGTGTGGAAACATCGGAGTCCTCGTTGACATTAACAACTTCCAACGTTTGGTCGTCACAGTTGATGAGCCTCTGGTCTTCAAGTTCGATAAGGTTAAGGACAGCTCTGATGCCTCCAAGCTATCCATGGTGGTTTAATTTGAGCTCCTAAACTCTCCAGTTTGTATAATCTAATAACGATGACGATGATGTGATAGTGTGACATATCTGATCTGTTGCACTGTTTATCTCTCTATGGATTAATAAAATAAAGTTGCACTAATTGTCATCCATAAATTTTCTTGAGATGTTTTTTTCCCAACTCATGATATTGTTATATATGTGAAGTTACAATTTTTTTTTTCTTTAGGCTTTATCTAGATTGAGGGAAACATGAGAGGAAAATAAAGGGGGAGAATTATATTACGAGAGAAAACTTTCAAAAATAGCAATTTTGTTATTTTTGGGAGTCTTATAATTTCTCTCGTAACATTCTTTTCTTTTTATTTTTGGTCTCGTTGAACTAAGTGCGAGGAAGCATAATTCACTGTATAGGAATAAATGAATAATGTAACACGTAAGGGAAAATAAAGGAGAACTACTAGTTGTCATAGATCGCAAATATAATTACGTACCAAGAAATTAAATACTGGCTCTGGTCCTTAATATAAGATGTCATTTAACTTTTATTTTGATCCTAAATATAAGACCCCAATCTACTTTATCTTTCATATTTATTCATTTTTTTTTCAAGATACTCCTTCTAATAATGGTAGTTCTAACTAATAAACTTGATTAGCAAGAATATTTTAGGAAAGACAATACTTATTTATTACAAATAACTAACTTAACTTGTTTCCTTAATTTATTCAAATTAGTCAACTAGCTCTCATATTTAGAACCAAGGGTAGTAGTTATTATTAAGGGAAAGTCGAACAGGCAACTTGATCAATCTATATGTGAACTATTGAATTTTAATCCTGTCATTGCTATGCTATTTAATATTTTATTATTTTTTCTTAAATTACAAGCTCCATTTTGGTAAAATGATGGGCATAATATGTTAGTTCTAAATATTGAATAATTTTTTTTAAATCATGGAAGATGAGATATAAATTTTGTAAGTCAATTTTTATAGGTGATGTGAAATTGAGATGTATGTAAATTATGAAAATTGAGTTGACATTTACTCCAGCAGAACCCATTTTAGCTAGAGGCATTTCGTCCGCCCATTAAATAAGTTTTCAACATGTAATGACCAAAGTCTTTAGCTGGCAACAAAAAAAAAAAAAGGCCAAAGTCTTTAACGGTCATTTCTTATTGGGGGACCCTTAAATGTTATGGAAAATTACACACAGGTCCCAAACAAGAAAATTTATTCATCCATGGTCCCTTTAAATGTTGAAATTAATGTAAAGTTCTCAGGGATTTGTGAGTAATATATTAGAATTATGAAAAGATGTTTTTATCCTCATTTGTTGGGGGGGGGGGAAACAGAGAAGAGAATGAATTGTTAATAGATGTATCAAAGGTCTTCAATGTAACTTATTGATTTGTCAATGACAAGTGCTTTTGACATGATGATATAAAAGATGGCAAGTTTAAGTAAGATGCATCTGTCTTGTTTTCTTCATAGAGGGCACAATTTATTCATGGTATGGAATGTGAAATACAATATGCTAGGGGTAGTGTGAGAGCAAGAATGATAAAGGAAGGCACATTACAAAGACCTGCAAGAACTCCAATTTAAGTTGAGATTTGTTGGTAGCTTTTTTTTTTTTTTTGCGAATGCATGTGACAATTTTTTCTGTGAATTCATGTATCAGTATTTTTTTTTTTTTTGTAAATTTCATTACATGCACCTCAAGTTAAGGGGTCATTAGATAGACATACAACATATATATGTATATGATTTTTAGAAGGGTTGTTGGTGTAATTATATTGTACATATATATGGAGTTGTAAATGAAATGTGAAAGTAGTTTGATATAATGTCATATTTATATTTTGCTATACTTATAAAATCCAATGCTAGTACTTGTTAATATGTTCTCATTGACTTGTTAATGATCAACGCCCTTGAGCTTGTCAATGATTGTCTGCCACAAAATTCTGATATAAACCCATAGTTTGATGTAATATTCAATGTGCATCCTTGATCACATATGATTTCAGCTTAAAAATTGTTATACAATACTATTTTATTATAATTTGATTTTATGTGGAAGTAATACTATCCTACAAATTTAGTTGTCAACTAAGACATCCTAACTTGTCAATAGGTTTTCTTTGACTTGTTAATCCAAGCCTTGAGTTTCTCAATGACTATCTGACTATCTGCATCAAAACTCTCATATAAATCCATCATTTCATCTAATATCAGTGTACATGCTTTGATCACACATGATATCAACTTAAAAATATAATTTGATCTTACCTTATATGGAGGTAATATTATTTTAGAAATTTAGTTGTCAACTTAGACCCCTAATTTGTTAATAGGTTCTCATGGACTTGTTAATCCATGCTCTTGAACTTGTCAATAGTTGTTTGCAACAAAGTTTTGATATAAACCTATTATTTCATCTAATATCTGTGTGCAAGCTTTGATCACACATGCTTTTAGCTTTAAAAAAAACTATCCAATATTATTTTGTTATAATTTGATCTTATGTTGAGATAATATTATCTCGCAAATTGAGTTGTCAACTGAGACTCTCTAACTTGTCAATAGATTCTCATTGACTTGTAAGTCCATGCCCTTGAGCTTGTCAATGGCTATCTGTAACAACATTATCATATAAACCCCATCATTTCATTTAATATCTATGTGCATGCTTTGACGGCACATTCTTTCAGCGTAAAATTTGTTATATAATACTATTTATTATAATCTAATCTTACATGGAGGTAATGGATCCGTTTGGATCAGTGATTAGAAAAATAGCTTATTGAAAAAGTAGTTCATGAAAAAATAAAGTTGGTAAAAGCTAAATTGGATAAATTGAATTGTGTTTGGATTGGAGTTTAGAAAAACTAGTTTGCAAAAGTGAGATTGGTAAATGGTTGTTTGGGTTATAGCTGAATAAAAATAAGTTTGGTTGTAAAATAACTAAAATGGGTATGGGTTTTAATAAATAATGAAACATGATTAAAAAAATAATTTCACATAATACAATGAAATTAAAATAATTTAATATGAAGAAGTGAAATTTATTGAGTGGATTATGATTGAATAAAAATAAGTTTGTTTGTAAAATTTCCAAAATGGGTATGGGTTTTAATAAATAATGAAATACGATTAAAAAATAAATTTATATAATATAATGAGTTTAAATTAATTTAATATGAAGAAGTGAAATTTAATAAGTGAATTAAATTTTAAAATATTAGAGGAATCATAAAAAATTATTGTAAATATAAAGTGAAACACGCATAATTCACATTTATAAATAAATCTGACAAATAAAAATTAAAAAAAAATATGATAAGAGCCAATCAAGTTAAAATTAACTCAAGTCTTAAATTAGAAATAAAAATGCCAACGGGTCTCAAATTACAATTCAAGATTTTGGCCAAAAAAAAAAGATTCAAGATAAGAAAATGGAAGATGCCAAGATGAAGAAAATGACAAGAATAGCAGAAGCCTCGCATTGGCAGCCTTTTCTTGACATGGTCCATAAGCTACTTATTCAAAAAAGCTCCCCCTCCTTAGCTTAAATTTAATCATGCTTTTTCATGCTTTTCAGCCCTCAAGCTCGGTGGCTCACTAGTGGTGCCAAACAGAGACAAATTTTGAATCAGGCTTATCTTCAAAATAAGCTGCTTATGGCCCATCAGAAGCTCTCTCAAACAAGCACAATATTATCTTATAAATTTAATTGTTAACTCAGACTCCCTAACTTGTCAATAGGGTCTCATAGACTTGTCAATGGCATTCTGCTAAATTTTGATATAAACGTCATATACATATGCTAATCAAAACAAGTGAACTACTTAAATCTTCATTAACCTCTGAATGATGTTAATAGATGTCATTACATTTTCCAAATAAGGTCATTTATGAACAATAACAATAAAAGCAATATACAATTGCTTCTCAAACAAAGGTCATTTACAAAATGGTCATTCCAATAAATGACAAGTCCTTAAACACCAACCTGTCAATCCAATAAATGACAAGTTCTTAAACAGAAGCACTGTGTACAAAGCCACTTGTCATGATTTCCTTCCCATTCAACTGTCCTTGCAACTTTGCAATATAGGTAAGTGATTTTCAACGCTGCAATATAGCCTCATTTGATTTCAATAGTAGATTCTGAAATATAAATCAAAAAGTATCTTCAAGGACATATAAAGATCAAAATGAAGAACTACATTGCCCAGACATGCTTCTCTTGTATCCAGCTTGAGGCAGCCTCTCCAGCATAAGAAAAATTATGGACAGGACATCACTATAGGCACCAAAATATTGGAAACAGGCCAGCTGGTAAATAGATGTAATGAAATTCCTTAATATCGACGACTTATCAAATACTAAGTATGGCAAGTTAAATAATTAGATTCGCAAAGCTAAATGCAACTTTAATATACTTTCGCATATGTCATATATATATATATAAAGTCTCACAATTACAGCAATATGTTGATGAAGTAATCCCAAAATAATAACAGAATAAGAAACAGCAACAAAGAAGAAATATAGTAGGAAGGAGAAATATAGTAGCAACAAAATTTCATCGAAACTATTTTCCCTCCATATAAAATCATACATTCTGTTGATGGCACACCTACAATGGGTTGTAAGATAGTAAAAACAATAATTCAACCCAATCTCTTGAAGTCCATATCAAAAATAATGAATAAAAATCTCCATGTCTTCTCCTTCAAAGAAATATCAATAACTCTATAAAGTCCTCCATTGAAAACCCAAAGACAGTCTAAGAGCATCTCGTGCATAGTGGTGAATGTAGGGAAATATAAAGAAGTAATAAGACTCCTTCTCTTGAAATTAAATAAGCAATATGTACAGAACAAACATAATAGCCTTAAACAATAATAATAAGCCCAACAATCCCTTCCTTACAATTCAAGTCCTCCTTAATACTAAGCCTGTTTATTACAATATGTTTTAAGGAGTGATAGATGAGATCAATGGTTTTCACTAGTATTATGAAATGGAGATAAATTACCAAAGTCTGAATTGCTGAAAATTGAACAGAGATGATGCTATGCCTCATAAAAGGCTACAAGCATGGTGCCAGCATCGGAAGTAATATAAAG